TCTACATATACATATACGTACTTTACAGAACAGTCATTCAGGGAAGCAAGCTTCGGGCACGCGGTATTGTCGATAAAGAACAGGACGCACGCTTGGTACGGATGGCACCGCAACCAGGATGGGTTCTCCGTCGAGGCTGACTCCATGTGGTTCTTCAACAGATTCTGGTTTCCTCATGATGATTCCTCTTAGAACCTTCTCTTTGTATTCCTCTTTTCATTTGAATAATCATCATATCGAAATGTGAGTTTGCATTTACTTTTCCTTTTTATTCTCGGTTTTTAGTAAAGTATTATGATTCGTGTTCGGAAAGAAGGTTTCTCAACAGCTAAAACGGCTCGTAGTGCTTCGGCACATCCTTAGAACGGCACGCATTGTTTAGTTTATTCCCATTTTACGTTGATACAAGGAAATAAAAAGATTAGTGAGAAATGAGAATAGTGAGATTACGCAACTAGGAAAATTATTTGTAGCGGTTTCTCAACAGCTAAAACGGCTCGTAGTGCTTCGACACATCCTTAGAACGGCACGCATTGTTTCCGTTTTTCCCATTTTATGTTGCAATAATACGGATTGGGTTTCTGAAGATTTATTAAACCAAAATTTATACATGAATATTGTTTATGTTAATATTTAAAGTTCTAGATTTCAAAAATTTTGATAATATTCATTTAGCGGTTATACTTAAGACGGAATTCATATAAAATATTAAGAATTTTTATAATTTTGTAATTTTTATTTAATATTAAGAATAATTTTATAATTATATTGATATCGATTGTAAAATAAAAAAAATTTAGTTAATACCGAATTTGCTGACATTTCGATTTACGAATTTAAATTTTTGGATATGCAAAGTACGGTTGCACCCTGGAGTACGCAAATTCATGTTGATTGTCCAATAGAATTACAAATGGGCCGTGTAACTACCGAGCTTTGGGCCACCGTCAAGGGCTCAGTGGCTTTATGGTAATAAAATGTGAATCGTCCCGTCGTTCTTTTTTTTTTTTTTTTTTAAATAAAATATTTGCCAACGACTTATAGATTCAAGGTTGAGAAATTGAAAATTCTGAAGAAATTGGATTCATAACACCAAAAAGAACAAGAAACAGAGATTTCAATTCTTCCGACACCACGTCTCGATCTGATTTTCCTTCGCGACCGTCTGCATCCGGAGGTTCGACGCGGAGGAGTTTTTCCGGCGAATCTCCCCGTGCGGCGGGTGCTCGGAGGTGCTTTATGCAATGGCGGAGGAGACGATCTTAGGGAAGAACGGATCAGAAGAAGAGATCGGTGGTTGCGCCAATGAGGAAGAAGAGAAGAAGAAGCAATCGCCGGACCCCGAGTACTTGTGCTGCATGATGCAGCCTATAACCACCGATACCGATCCCGTGTACGTTGGAGTTCGCCGACTTCTTCTACGCCGGAAATCTGAATCTGGCGTTCTCGGCCGCCGATATGTACGCTCTTTCTCTGTAACATTCGTTGCTCACTTCAAACCATTGGATATCACAGTCCTTCATGTGCTTTTTTATGGTTAGAAAGGTTCTATTCGTTGTGGAGAATCATTTTGTTCACTTCAGACTGCTGGAAAGTACATTCGTGAAATTGGGTTTTGTAGTTAGATGTTTACATTACTGTTTGGTCCAATTGATGATTCTGTAACTTTAATTTTCGGATTGAAAACCGTTTCCTTGATTTTGCATTTCTCTTTGATTTGTTTATGGTGTAGTCTTGTTCGAGGCTTGAACATTTTGCTTAGAGCTGTTACTGTTCTTGCCCTGTTTGTTGAAGGAATGGAGGTGCAATGGGAAAGGATATGTTGCGTATCGAAATTTCATTAGCCGACCTAGGAAGTGGGAGAATGTGCAAACACCGAGCATCTTGAGTAGTCCCGGAAACAGGTTTCTGGAACTTGAACTAGTAAATTTCAACAGATTTTTTGACTTTGAATCTGTTTCGATTATAGGAAAAGTCTTTTTCGTATCCCCTAAAGGCATTTCTTGTAACATTGAGATTTATGTGCCTGGCTTGCCTATATCACTGTCTTGGTTACTTCTGCGTATTCCCATATGATTCTGACGTCCAATTAATTTACTGGTTGATGCATCAGTGGCCGATGGCTTCCTTCTCCAAGTCCCCTCTCCCATCTATATGAAGTTGAAAGCTTTACGTCTAGTAGGGTATGCAGGATTTCTCCATTCTCGTGCTCTGTGATTATTTTTTATTTTTACTTTTTTACTTTACTTTCGAGCATTACATTTAGTTGGCAGCCAATTGAGTTTATTGTAAAATGTCACGAAAGAACCGTAGATTTCTTTTTTTTTTTGGTTTGCCACTGTTATAAGTCGTCTTAACGTTTGTTCATAGGATTTACGAAGTGTCAATCAGGTTTCAAGCCATAGAGCTAGTTTTAGCTCAAGTTTGAGTGACAGTGATCATCCATATCGCCGAGGTGTGGAGCAGGCGTTTTCTTTTGTAGGAATGCATTGTATCTTCGATCAATGCCAATCTGCTGGTATCTTTCTTTCTGCTGCTTTAGTTTCATTGACCCGCTTCATGAGTTTATTCTCATTTAAGAATGTGGAGACTCTTATATCTTTATGCAGTCACTGTTCTGAAGTTTGGCCACATGAGTTCTGACCTACTTGCATATGGAGCATCAGATGGAACCTTGACAGTTTGCAGTGTTTCAGAGCAGCCCTCTGTCCTCAAGCAGTTAACAGGACATACGAAAGATGTCACAGGTTCGGTTGACTGGTATTGTCCCTGTAGGCTTTTGCTGTTTCTCTGACCTTAGGGCTCCTAGCTTATGATATGTGATACTTGCCTGTTATGGGAAGATTTTGAGTTGCAGGTTTTTTAGAGCTAAGTTGTATGTACAGCATATATATTGTATCCTCAAAACCAGATTCTGTACTTCAAGCTTCTTATTTTCTATATGTTCCTTAATACATTCAGATTTTGACTTCTCGTCGAACAATCAGTACATTGCATCATCATCGCTTGATAAAACAATACGAGTGTGGGAGTTGTCAAAAGGCGTTTGTATTAGAGTTATATATGGAACCTCTGCACAGTTATGCATCCGTTTCCACCCTGTAAGTTCCCACTGGATTTTCTCATCTCTTTTATTTCCCTCGTTGCAGCTCATCATTTCTCTTTTTTCATAATGTGCTTGCATTGACATGTTGTAACTTTCATTTGCATCTTTTCACAGGTAAATAACAATTTTCTTTCAGCTGGCAATGCAAATAAAGAAATCGCGGTATTTAAATTGTACCTTTCAGCCAAGTATATACCTTTTTGGATTCCTTTCCTGCATCAAATGATTCAATTATTTGATGGCTCCACGTCTTTCTGTTTGACGTATTAGGTCTACAATTTTAGTACTGGGAGAACTATTAAAAAGTTGGTGTTTGATGATGAGGTTACGTCGATGGACCACGATCACACAGGCCATCTGATTTTCTGTGGGGATGCACATGTAAGTTTTCTCTATTTCGACGTCAGAAATATATGTCGAATGACAGAGAAATCATCCTTTTTTTTTACCGTAAACTGAACAAACTTGTCCACCCCATTTGTGCCTTTTTTTTACAAATGCAGGGAACAATATATTCGGTGAGCATGGACTCCCATACAGGTTCCTTATCCCGGTCTCATCGCCACCGCGGTAGTCACAAATCTCCTGTGACAACTGTGAAATACCGGAGTTTCTCGCTTCTGGCTTCAGGACCCGTTCTGCTGACATGTACTCAGGACGGGAATTTGTGTTTCTTTGGGTTTGTGATAAGAACCCTAGTTTTTTTTGGGGCTCGGAGTTGATCCCAGAAAGATACTGATAGTGATAGTAGTATATCTTACCTGACCAGCTCGTATTTGTGATGCAGCGTTGCGCTCGAGATAAAGGGGTATCTAACTTTACGTTGTTCCCTCAAATTAGCCCCGCGGATACACAGAATTCAAGCATCGTTCTGCCCTCTCCTATCACTGGAGAAAGGAGAATACATAGGTACGATACCATCCTTACATTATAAACACCGAGAGAGATTTCCACGTCTGATGTCGTTTTCTTTTTTTGGTATCCGAACGTGAAGTTGCTGGAAGCGAGGACTCAAATGTCTACTTCTACGATCTTACCAAACCGAAACACACATGCGTGAACAAGCTACAGGTGAAATCTTGTAGTAGCATGCATTGGTTACATAAATGTGAAGCCGGGTTCTTCCTTGGTAACTCACGCTCTGGGGCGTGGGGGGTTTATTTTCCCCTGGCAGGGTCATAGGTTTCCAGTCACGTGCGTGGGGTGGAACCATGGGGAGAACTTGTTGGCGTCATCTGATTTCTACGGGGTTGTAATCGTCTGGAAAAGAGCCAACAAGACAAGCTCGTAGGTTCGGCTTGATACAACACCGACAACAAGACTGATTAAGATGAATACTCCCCGTTGCATATGTATACCAAAGTCTAAATCTAATTCCTCATTTTTTGCCCACACGTTTCCTGATTCTAAGAGGTAACTGTTTACTTTGGTTCCAAAGATTTGAACAGAAAGGGAACCGAGAGAATTTCTTGTCAGGTTGATGTTATAGTAGTAGATTAATTGTAACAAACACGTAACACATCAATCCGTTGTAGTCTAGGTGGTTAGGATACTCGGCTCTCACCCGAGAGACCCGGGTTCAAGTCCCGGCAACGGAACGTTTTGCTTTTTTGGGGTTTATTTGCTTCTGTTATACAATTTATTTTTCATTATGCTTCTAATCTAAATGATGATATGTATATATACATTACTATTATATAATATATTAATATGTATATGTCTGTTCAAATATATACATGAGGAGTTCCCGATGAAAATATCCTTTGTATCGAAGTTTCTCAAAAGTAAAATTTTCTTTTAATACGTTGGATAGTATAGTAACCAACGCAATTTGTTTTTTTTCACGTAATCTTCTAGCGAAAAGTGAAACGTTCTTCAAAAGTTCTACACGATATCGTTATGATTCAAATACCTTTTTACATCCAAGGTTATATACATGCGTATATATGCATAGACTGTAGTCGCATATATATATAATACACTCCAACTACATATGTAAATATACATATATATATATATATATATATATATATATATGTCATCAGTTAGGAATAAACTTGAAAGGAGGCCTAACGAGCCTTGGTGATGGACTGTAGTTTCCATAGTCATTTGTGTTCATTCTAAGAATCCTCTCGTGTATGCTTGTATCCACCTGCCATACACACATATATATATATGTGAATATATATATATACACATATACATATACGTACTTTACAGAACAGTGTGTATTGCAAAACAAATAGTCCAAAAGAAAATTGAAATTGAAGCTTTTCTGCTCATGCATGTTAATCGACTAACCTCATGATGGTAAGTCACCGGATTTGTTTGCTCGAGTGGTTTATGGATCAACATGGATGATCGGCCTGCAATGACGAACAAAACTATATATTATATATATAGATTCGAAGTAATCATATGATTCCTGAAGTGATAACAAGATGAGAGAAACCACCTTGTTCATAATATATAGAACGTAGGCATGTGTAAGTATATATACACGTTTTATACAATCTTGTGTATATATATACACATCTACATACACATACATTTCTACACAATTTCTCGGGCGTTCATGATATTGCATTACTTATATATATATATATATATAACAAGTCGCTTGGCTGCATGAGAGAGAGAGAGAGAGAAGAAATCGAACCTGCAAGAGAGAGAGAGAGAGCTGAAGCTGAAATCAGAAGAAAGACGAAACCCAGTTTCTTCATCAAACCCATATTTGTTTTCTACTCCCAGATAATGAAATGATTTTTTTTTTTTGGGGTGAGATCTCTTGATAGTGATGATCTTAAGCTATATAAGACAGAATATGTGAAGAGAGAGAAACCCAAATGCTTGGTTTATCTCTCTATATACATACATACATACATACCTATAACTATATTGCAATCCTCAATCCTTTTTTGTTTTTTATTTTTATTTTTTAAATTATTTGTTTCATGAAACTGTGGGGGGAAAGTTGAAAGGAGACAACTTTCTTGTTGTTGGCCACCACTACTGGTCTCAAGTCTAAAGAAGTTGGTGGCTTTGATTTGATGTGGTTTGTTTAACAGAGACAGCATTTTCCAAGCCAAAATTACCAAAGTGCCCTCACTAGTAGTGTTCGAAGAAAATGACTGAAAATTCTGAGATATATATATATATTGAGTAGAAACTCAATCATTCGACTAATAAAAAAAATGTATAGTTAATATATATGGAGAATTTATTATAGAGTAAAGTTTACATGTTAACAAAAAATCGAGACAAAGAAGAATTGTAGGAAATCTAGTTAGTTATTATAAATAAAGGGCACTAAACAAAATAGTAAAACATATAACCATATCTAAATTCTTTTATAATATAAATTTCTACGGTGGAATGTGAATTTATTTGTAAAGATGTGCAAAATGTGTAAATATTGATAGAGGGGGGAAATGCTTTGTCTTTGTTTATATGTCAAAATCAAAAAGGTAAATAAATTAGGTATAACGAGAATCAAAATGATATTTTGATGAACAGTGGGTCCAATTATATCATATGCTTAAGGACAAGGACACTCTACCAAATATAAAACTTTGAGAGCACAATGGTGGAGAATAAAGATAAAAAGCACTCTAATAATACACATATATATATATATATATAAATGTAATTATTAATTTTGACAAAACTTAATCCTCTGTGCTCTATTTGACTTGCTTTCCAAATAAAAGCGCCACCCTAACGATTTGGTCAATCCCTATGAAGACTATAGTGCAAATTAACCATTAACGCGTGCATTATATAACTCGCTGCTCATGTACATATACACGTATCATTTCCACGTACATAACTAATACAATGAAAACCATGGTATATAAAATGGATATGAATCTATTATTGTATGTATAAAAAAAACTATTTGGGTTTATCTTTTGACTTTTCTATGATTTTGACAATGCATTTGGAATTATATACATGCGTTATTATGTTTATATACAGCCCACATATCATATATCTTGTTATACTCTAACATATTCACGTGAATAACTAAATTCAAATTACATAGGTTGAGGGTTACTACTTGATATGATATCGAGACCAAAAATGTTCAAATGATATTTTCTCTTTTTGGATGATTTAATTATGAAAAGAAAGCTTATCAACGAACTTAAAATTGCAATTGCCAAAAGCTCATTGGACTTGTTACACATTTGAAGGCTCGTTTTAAGTTCGGGTTCATTAAAGCGATAATGGGCCTTTAATGGGTTTTAGGCCTCTTTGTAGAAAAACTTTATTAGATAATTTTTTTAATCATTAAAATATTTACATGATACTTTCAGCTAAGGATTAGTTGCCTAATACAATTTGAGCATCTTATTATAAAAATAATAATCTTAAAATTCAAACGGATATGATAATACCTAATTTTGCTCTTATCGATTTGGATCACAGTCGATACATTTGCATTTGGAACTATGATATAAAATGAATTAGTTTTAGTAAACCTGATATATGTATAAGGGTTTGTAAAAATATAATTTTTTTTATTTGAAGCAACCCGAAATTTATTTTCTTTTGCTTTATGAAGAATGTCGCAGAATCTATATTTGTCGGTTTTGGACCGCCCATATAAATTTAGCGGCCGAGAACAAAAGAGACTGCCATGAACCAAAAAAATATCTAATTGAAGACCATTGGAAATGAACGGAGAACCATAGAATAAAAACAAAACAAAAACCAAATGACAAGTCGTACCACGTACGCATTTAAATATGAAACATTTGTCTAACATTTTATGTGAATAAAATATGTGCAGAATATATACCAACTTAAAAAGCAACGGTAGACAAATTATATATAATCTCTTTTTCTATTAAAAAAAAACAATGGATTATCCAAAGATTGCAACAGCAAAAAAAAAATCCATGTCAGTGGCCTTCCTACCATGCAATTTATATTTTACATAAAATTTCTATTCATTTTTGGTAGAAGATAATGTTTATGCATTTTATAACCCATCTTCCTTTTTTCTTTTATTTTTCTCACGAGAAGATGTAGTCGAATACCTAAAAAAAACATATTTTATGAAAAAATAAAATTATATATTCGTACATTTTTAAGATTATTTTTTTAAGAAAATAATTTATATTAGTTATATACTATCCAAAATATATTTTATATAAATCAACTTCGGTGCCGTTTCTTCGGTCAATAAAATTATACCTCATCAATCGGCAGAATTTACTTATTTTTTTTATAAAAAAATCAAAATAATTTGGCATTAAAAACTAAAGTGTAATTTATAAAATCTGCTTTTTTATATGATTTCGCAAATTTTAGATATGAAAAAAAGGAAGTTGAAAGATAGATTTCGCCATCGATGTTTCCCGTGATCCGTTTTTATCCTTTTTATTCTTTTCTTTTTTTTTAGTGCTTTAATACTTTAAAACTTTATTATAAGGTTTGCTAAATGGACCGACTTATCTATTTTATTGGTTAGTTTAGTCTTTTCCTTCAAACTTTGTAACATTGTAGTCCATATTGCCTTCTTTAAATGAAAAGTAGATATACAGGTCTTTAAAAAAAAATGCACACTTTATCATTCATTCCACTTATCAAATTCTAAATGGAATTTGTGTTTATAAATAAATTTCCATATAATAAAAACGATTTATCATAAATATATATAATCATCCATCACAGTTATTCAAATAACGATCCAAGTGACTGTAGGCGAGCCGAGAGGTGTAGCTGGTTGAGAGGAGTTAGTTGTCTCTATCCCATGTCTCATATTCGAACCATATGTTGGGGAGGAGGTGTATAATTTAATTGTGGTACAAAGATTACCTCCGGACCGAAATCCCGGTAAATTTTCTAGTTAACAACACAAAACGATTATGAATAACGAGTTATTTATCACGGTTTACAAATAATAACCGGTCGATATTTTCTCAATTATAAAATGTGAAGGAAAAATATCAAACTTTTTTATATTTACTGTAAAACTTCTTAAAAAATAATTCTTCGGATTTTATTAAAACATTATATTTTTTTTTGTATTCACTTTGGTTTCTGATTTACTCATTAGATAAAAGTTCTAGATATATGAATTATAAATCATAAAAAAAAAATTGTATTACGAAACGTGGAACAACGAACAGTTAATAATCTTCTTTTGATTGGCTTGAAAGGACAATAATTAAAATGAAAGACGTATTTAACTTTGTTTAATTAATTGATTTTTTCCGTCTTTAACCTTTTTTTTAATCAAAGGTTAACGGTCAAAAACTAATGATGATTAACAACGGCTAACCCTTATTACTAATGAAACGACGTGTTTATTTATCATAATGACAAAACCAATATGAAATTGACAGCCTTAAAATTTTTGTTTTCTTCCTATGTTTCTTTTGAATGTTACGTGGGATAGCAAAAAATATGTGACACTACTTGACAAAACATGTGTTCACTTCACTTGACGCATAATCATTACAAATGGTGTATAATCATCATCATCATCTTTTTTTGCATATATACATACATACATACATACATACATACATACGTGTGTATATATGCATAGAACGGCGAACCCATAACGTTTTATAAGTGGGGTCACTAATGATGCACGTATAATGTTATAATTACAATCTTAATTTTATTGGGGGCGATTAGTAATTTTTCATGAAATTATATAAAATTTATGAAGGGAACTATTTGTTTTTGAATTAAGGAGAGGTGGGATGTGACCACTCTATGTTAAGTGAGTCCGCCCATGTATGTATATAAATTTACACAAAAGAAATAGTTGTTTACAAGTCCCTATCTACATTCGATTATATTTGCAGCTCAAAAACGTCACCGTTTTGATTAGCATCTCAACCACTAACTGTACGAAGTACAAATTGCTTCATCTCAGATCACGGGTCTGATTTTAATTAGAAAATAATAAGATTACAAAATCTAAATTTAATTTTGGTTGTCGGGTGAATAAAAAAAACAAGTACGTAAAAGTAATGGATGACAACTGCTTATACGAATTAGAAAGTTACAACCCGTAGTGAGCTCACTATGCATTGCATGCCGACATATCTTATATAATAAGATTTTAGGCAACTATATATATATATATATATATATTCAATCTTTAATTACAATATTTATGACACGGACAAGTAGATTAAAACATTAAAAACGCTAAAGTCTCACCAACACTCTGTTTATAAATGTACATGTATTAAATGATGAATTACATGTAAGAAATCCATAGTTTAATCTTGATCTTATACACAGATAACATAACATTGCAATAATTTAAATTGTACTCTTCGGAACCTGATATAGTGGTTAAAGGACCCGTGATTTTCCAAGAGATCATGAATTCCATTCTCCAACAAATCTGTCACATTTTGGATAGTTTACCTGTTCCATGTGGTTTGCAAACTATTACGTATAACCGGAGGATTTATCACCTTGACCGAAAGACGGTCGTTCGGTTCCGAAATTTTTTCAAAACCCAATCCATAGATAATTAGATATCTTGAAACATAAAACGAGTACACAATTACGTAAATACCCTTTATACTACAACATAGCCTTTATTTCAACACGGCTAACAAAGATTAGATTCCCGGCTTCCAATTTGCAATGAAATTAAACAAACAAACAAAAAACCTAAAACAAGAAGAAAAAACACACATTCTGTCATCTTTCTCTAAAAAACGGCGGCCCATTTTGGGGATTAGAGAACTTTTGATCTACAAATCTCAGTACTGTAACGCATCAGCAGAAGCCGTGAGAGGCTGATTCAGGTAAAACATGTTCATGTTCATGCTCGTGTTTATCTGATTCACGAACAAATCATCAACCTCTAAGCGATCAGAAACGTTAGAACACATGCCAGAGAAGCCATTGTAGTTGCCGCTGGAGAACGCGATGATGTCGTTGAGAGAATCCAATCTGTGTCTGAGCTCATCGATTTGAGCTCTGAGAACAGAGTTCTCAGCCTCGACGGTGAGGTAATGCTGAGTTGTGATGCTGACACTTGTCACGATCTGGTGGTTCTCCTTCCTCAGCTGAGCAACCTGAGCCGTCAGATCATCCATGAGCTTCTGCTTCCTCATCCTCGACCTCCTCGCGGATTCTCTGTTCGATATCATCCTCTTTCTCTTCCTCTGCTCCATCACCGCCTGCAGATTGTTGTTCTCCTCCGACGATATCGACGACGACGACTCCATTAATCAATCACACACAGAGAGACGAAAAAGGTTGCAACTTTGTGGATCCAAACGGGTAAAGGAGAGATTTTTGTGCGTTTTCAGGGGGATCCAGCAGGACCCAGATGAGAAAGTCGAAGAAAAACGAAATCTAAGATGTAGCAGAACAAGGAGAAACGCTTAGTTATTCAGAAATTTTTATTACTAGGGTTTTTTTTTAATGGGAGATTTAGAGGGAGGGTGTTTCAGAAATCATGAGACATAGTAGAGCCAGTAGAGGAAGACGACAGAGAAGGATTGAACAAGATGGGTCCTGCGCCTGATTGTGGAGTTTATCATAAACCCGGAGAGGAGGATTTCACTCAGAATTGGAGACATGAATCTCAAACATCAATAACCACAGATTCAGCATCAAGATTCGTTTTTTTTCCTTTTGTTTATTTCTTCTGAAACTTTCTCACTTCTTCTCTCCTTTTCCCCTCTTCAGAGAAGGAGGATAAAAAACACCACAAGAGCTGAGATCTCAAAGTAAATCTCTAGAGAAACATGGTTTCTGCCCTTGCAAATGGAGCAAATCTCTGTGGGGGGGGGGGGGG